AGGACTTCTCAGATGCTTTCTTCCCCTGTGCAAGCCCTGCATGCGCTCAGTGCAAGGGCAGAAACAACCAGCAATGTAATAACCAGCGTTCACCTTTCAGGGAGGCATCAAGGGCATTCCAAGTTTTTATTATTATTATCCGTATGCTGGCATAATGGGATTTACACTTTTCTCAATAACACAACGGAGAGAAAAAGTCTGACAATCATGTGCTTCACTGGAGTGAGGATAAAGAGGCAGCGGGCAGCGCCAGACGCGCGGGCTGCGGAGTCCAGTGCGCTGCTGTGCCGCGAACCCGGGCCACAAATCCCCTGGCAAAAGTTTAAGAAGAAAGTACAGGAGCAATTTGATATTTTGCTTTTAATGCAAAGTTGGCATTTTTGGTACTGTGTTTAGGGCAGAGCAAGAGCTCACTTTTTTTTTTTCCTGTAGCCACATGTTAAAGGCCCCTGCAGGCCATTCTTTGTAGCAATCGCATCTTCTGTTCTTCGGTGTTACACTAAAACGTCATTCCTTCTGGACTTTTACCGTCTGTTAATAAGCTTGAAAGGCAGATGAGGAAGTCGGTCGTCCAGCGGGAAAGGGCAGCAGCCGTCTGTCGGCGCCGCAGGGCCTGAGCAAGGGCTGAGCAAGGGCTGCGCCCGGCGTGGGCGCTGCCCCAGGCCCGGGTGGCCGCCTCGCCGCGAGGCGGGCGAGCACAGAGAACTGCTCCTCCGCGCTGTTGGTAATGGCTTGCGACAGCTCCCGTAGTGGTCGTGAAATCACCTTCCGTGCTGTTGTGTAGTGTATAATTAATGGAGGCAGTGTCTTTGTTTCAGCTATGGGAAAATGTGAGGGAGCTGAGTTACCACGTCAAGGCCGATAGCTGGTGGTCCCACTGAAACCCACAACTTTGGGGTTTGCTGGGTTTTTTTTTTTTTAATAGTGTTTTATTGTCACAATTTCCTTTGTGATTTTAAGACAAGAAAGGGAGAAGTAGCACTGAAATACCACTGTGGAGGGGCACACAAGTCTCCTGACAGGGGCCGGGAAACACGTTGCCGCGTAAGAAGGGCAGCAGACGGAGGGGGACGCGTCAAAACGCGCGGCCAGGTCGGAG